GGTGAAAACGTGATGATTGTAACCATCATACAGATGAGATTATGATCATAATTACCACCAGAACAATAATGACTGAGAACATGGTGGTACCAAATAAATAACGTGAGATGGTGTAATGACAGCGATCGTCAGCACGCCTTCAAACATCGGCACTGCAGCTGCGCAGGTGCATCCAAAAGTGAACGAATAGAAAAGTTATTTAGATAGGCGGTTAAACGATTTATGGTTCAGGGCACCAAACAGCAGATGGTAAAAGATTTTGCAAATGTTTTTCACTACATATGTCGTAACATCGTCGGGGCTGGGCTGAGCACAAATAGCTGCTTGAAATTACTTATATCCAACAAGCGTACAACACTATTGTTTTCCAGTTGGCCAAGACTACAAATCGCAGCGAACCTGCGTGACCAGAATGTTAACCAAGGAACAATGTAAAGTTCGCATCAAAGGTGCAGTAAGATCGATGTTACGTTGACATGAATTTCTGTATTAAATTCGTGATCTGCCTCATCATTCATTAATGTGGATTCTTGGCACATCCAGTATTTTATTGTCAGAATCTGCAGGGACTCTTTTGTCAGGTTGTTTATCCATGACAGACGTATTAGGCTGACTTATAGAGAGCTGGTGATCGTATGCTGGACAATAACGGAATTCTCAGTTTGTCTATGGTGGACCGCAGAGAGGTGCTCCTTGATCCAAATGTTCACCTTCCGGTATGTCTTTCTAATGCACACCTTATCGTAGTCTCCACAATAGACGTTGTACACAATATTTAACACCACCTTAGGAGCATGTACTTCGAGAATAATAGTGAGCACGTTATATTCGAATGTTAGTGAGCATGTACTTCGTGAAATATTGCCCATTTTTCTGCCAGTCTTGCAATGTAGATACCAAACCCCATGTGTTTAAGGTACGTTCTGATACGTTGAGATACCTGGGGTTTGAACGATAAAAATATCATTGGTCCACATGGACCGAACATCGTTAAATTCGAGCTATGGTGCAAAAATTCTTCATCAAGAACCCTATTTCGGTAAATATTGTTTAGAAACGTTTGGTACAGATGTTGAATCACTGTGTCTAGGCCACAAATGACGGTATAGCTTTCTTGGACTCGTAGACTCACATTTTTCACAAAGTTCATAAGTAGATCAGGAAAAACACAAGAGGCATCGATTGGAGTGGGATGGTTTCCGACAGACAAAAACTCAAGTCCAAGCGACGGTGTCTTCTTCTCCCGCAAGTCCAGAAAGAATATGGAGTGAACCACCTCCGTTTCACTGGTAAAACATATTCCGCCACTGGAATTTCGTCCATTCATCTAATCCGCCAGGCTTTCCAGCCTTTCCTATTCGTCTTCATTTCGTTGAAATAACAGGAAAATGTAATCAATGAATCAGACATAGAAGAGTGGACAGAATTCTGGCGGGCATTCTTTCTGAGGGCTTTTACCTTCAGGTGACATGTGTAAAGATCGGCTTAAACGGCACTTTCTGGGAAACCCATCAAAACGCCGTACTTCTGGTGGTAAACAACATTCACCAATCTGAAAAAGGTGCCATTCATTGTCACCAATTCATCAATGCTCCAATTTCTCAACAAGCTTTAGGATGACTTCCACTCCTCCGCCGTTTTCCGTCTTCCTAAAGATGTCGGAGAGAATATTAGCTAGCGAGTTGGTATTGGTACTGTTGGAAAGGGTGGAAGAAAGCCATGAGGTAATTTTAATGATCATGATCTTTCATCTGTACAGAAACTCCTGCCTTTCACTTTATAGGCCATCCACTTGGCGGCAGGTGTTATCGACAAATCAAGTTGACAATCTGATATGCTACTGTTCTACTAGCCAGTATGATAACCCTCCATTTGCCAGACTTATGAAGCATCACTAATCCATAAGGTAGTGAAGTTATGCAGGATTCAATGGTGGGCAAGATCATCTGCATGCATTTTTGGGCAACGATCTTTCTGTTCTGCAAATTCCATAGAGTTACAGCAGATTATGGCGGACTGTGTTGTTAGGGTGGCTTTACCTCGGAACATCGTGCACACCACTATTCTTCAAGTGTTACAGTATTTTCACATCTTATTCTTCCATAGGTATCACAGCAGTCTTCGCTCTTTTGTAAGCGCAGGCCACGCTGTTACCCTTCATTTTCTTCAATCCTTTAATGGCTCAGGCATGACAGAAGCCAGGCTAGGAAAAGATTGATGGATGTTATTGCTGGAAATAAGGCCAACGTTTGGGATGATTTCTTCTCTAAGACTTTTAAGTCCTTCCCTACATAAACCCGAATATCCGAAATGGAGCCAGCAGTGTAAGCGATGCTGAATCAGGGACCTAGCGCAAGAGATTCGGCAAATGCTGCTCAGATTCAGAACTAGGCTGTCAAGAAAATTCTGATCTGGCCTAATCCAAAGACCAAATACTTCCTTTTAGCGTGTAATCAGATCTTGTATCTTCCCTTGCTGACATGTGCGAACAGCGTTAAAACTCTCTACTAATCTCGATAGGTATAAATTCTGATAAACAGAAAGTCCTGTTCTGCTACCCCCTCACGGACGGCATTCCACAACCGGGCAACACAATGCTCATAGCACTTTCGCGATCGACACACTCCCATGATCTTGTTTTTCATCAGCTTATTTGAACATTAATGCAAAATAGAATCTCCATCGCATTGAAACTTTTGCTTGATGATAAAACTGTAGTAAATAATGTCATTCTTAAGGCATGTCCTCAGAAAAAAATTCGAATTTCGAATTGGATTAGCCAAAACTTTCCATATTTCAGCTTCTTCTGTACATCAACAAACTCGACCATACGGATTATACAAATAAGACTTCAAGTTTTTGATTTTGGGCCAGTAGTTATGTAGTTAAAATTATATGTTATCCTGGGGATAACTGTCACGCCGGATTTCCTTCACGTCGACTATCGAAGCGGCGCGAAGAATCTTATTTTCTTTCTTTTTACTGATGTAATCCAACAAGCATTTTTCATACTTCTATCATTCTCCTGCATCAATCACCATCTTCGCTCTTCCATCTGGCACCATCCATTTGGAAAGGGTTCACAGCTCGAATTAATTTCCACCACATTTTGCGCTTCTTTGTCAAACCTGCTGTCACTCCATAATGGTTCAGTTTGTGTTTACAACAATTGTTACCTCTTCTATGCCTTCTCCGTTCCATCCTTCCTTGGTAGAATCGGCCGCTGGATCACATTTTCTACCAGTTAGGGTCTTCCACGTGATCGAAAGAACAGATCAATTTTCGATCGGATTTCCTAAGGATAGCCTCAATATGCCCAATATGAAGTAAATTTAGATGTTGTCCTTCTTGCTGACACTACGCAACCGCCTGAGCATTCATGTGTTCCCGTGTCACTTCAAATTGGTCAGATTTTCAGGTTCCTATCGAAGTCTAGATCATATTACTCTTTCACAGACAGTCCGTTTTTGTTTCTTTAGTACTTTGATGTCACAGAGCATGCCTCACATTTGAGCGCTCAGCATTTTTTCAGTCGATTTTTAAATTCGGATTCGGTTTAAGCAAGATTCAGAAATGCTGAGAATCTCTGGGCAGCAGAGAGCAAATAAACTTTCTTTATTGCTCATTGTCATTGCATTCATTCACCCTACTGAAGTAACTTTGCTGTTTTCACTTATTAAAATCCGTTCTTTTCCATCAAATGCATTTCGCATTTCTTATCGTCCTAGGTATTTTTCTACAGGCTAATGAGTGCTACATCGGTTATGCAAAGCACGTAACGTAGAACTGCTTTCTGCAAACCACTGATCAACTCCTTCGTTGCCAGAGAAAACAGCAACGGGCTCAGAACCGATCTTTGATGAGCTCCTAACTCCCACATAAAATTCTAACAGATCAACACATTCATTTAACTATCGCCGTAATTCTGTTTGCTTTACGTAGGCCTAATATACTTTCCTTACTTGTTTTATTCTCAAACTCTACAATATCACCTGCATTTGTATTCGATTATAAATCTACCCAGGTGTAGGAAGAGTATGATTGACCTCGAATCATTTCTTTCCATATTTCGACTAACAATCTTGGATGACGTCTAATGATAGTCAGTTTGAAATACAGTCCAACAGGTTTTCAACGACAATAATCACTTTCCTCAGCCTTCTCTTATGTGTCCTTTAACATAGCTGTATGGTATAGTTTTGCAATTTAAGTCATCAGTAAATATCACAGGACAGTATTCACCCTCTCATTTTCTATATTGACGTCAAGATGATACTCTTCCTCCATAACTCCGGTATTTTATCGCATACCGTAATGTTTTACCAAACGGTGGACGTAATTGAGCAACATCTCGCTGTCCCATCGTCTCCTACACTTCTACGGAAACTTCGTCTTGGCGAAGGGAATTTTATTTTTCACTCGACCCAAGGGTTTCTTCAGTTCGTCCGGTGAAATTCTTTCGATTAATGTCTGGTAAGGAAGGCAGATTGCACACGCTATAAAGATGGACTGAACAACCGCTAATGTTTGCAAATAAAATTTCGCATATCTTCTTACCGGACAAAGAAATAAGTAGAGTTTTTAAGAAAGTACTTGAAAAGATCTGGCTCATGGACTGCTGGCAAAGTCAGGCTGCTGTCCACTTCCTAAAAGGCATATAACTGAAATAAAAGAACATGACACAAAGGAGAGCGAAAAGGTTACATGATCACCGCAGGCGACAGATTCAGTCATACCAGGCTGGTCTAAACGATGCGGAATTCGCAGCTATAAACAAATTGCAACTGAATAATAATAAAATTTAACAATAAATTTTACGAATAAAAATGTATATATGACTTGATCGGATATCTCAATCAGTGTTTATGGACATGGAAGATGGAAACAGTCATTTCAAAGAATCGTTAGTCCCGTTCCTAGGAATAGAAGTTACTCTTAAACAAGCAACTGGCACGGAAGAGAAAAAAGGAAACGATGCATAACAAGTGGATATTTACAGACTCGCGCAGCATCCCTAATATCATTACAGTATGGCCTTGTCCATGGTGATGGTTAACATGATGAAAATGAAGTTCATTCAACCACTAGCAGCTGGCTGCGCCCCCTCGCGTGATCCATCATATTTTGCTAATGCAGGATATGCTCAAATGGGTTACCGACAATTACTGATAATATATCGTCAGACAAGAGCGTTGTTCAGCCATGTAGCGAGATTAACAGGAGAAGGTTCTGCCCAAAGAGGCCACGCAGAAACTGCAAAGGCAAGGAGTAAATCGGCTGTCAGAAATTAAAATGACGTGATTATAAGTGGCAATGGAAAGCTACGTGGTGCCTACCCCAGAACATCAGGGTTACCTTTTGTCCATATATTAACGTATGGTTAGCGGCAGATATAATTTGTGCTCCAACCCACTTTTGTTCGAGAGCCCAACTCTGAGACACCCTCCTGCTTCCAATTTACTACTCCAAGTCCTGAAAAACCAATGAACAGTGGTCTGCTTAAATGGTTCCACAAGGTGACCTATTGACCAGTTGTCTAACGGGATAGTTTCGAACTCTGGGAGTGCCGGATTCGGTTTCGCTTGAGGGCAATTTTAGTAACGAATTCCACTGAGCAGTAAATTTGGCACACAATGCTTCAGACCGAGGTTGCTCAGTCGGTAGAGCGTCGAACTCAAAAACCGTTAGATCCTGAGTTGAAGCAGCGGTCAATAAGAAGCTCTTCTTCCTTCCATAACTGAGCACTATTCAGCGGGAAGGATACACGAGACTACACGCTAGAACGGGCACATGACCGTAGACCTTCCTTTAAAGTAAGGCATGTCTGGATGGTGATTTAAAAGCGGAGACTAGCACCACACCATGGAATTCAGAGAAAAAAAGGCGCCAAAAACTGATTCAGTCATAAAAGTGAGAAAATGCTCATATTCCAACGGAGAACTGTTTTCCTTTCCTAACCAAATAGTCCCCATGACTAAAAGCAGTGGGGCGGTGCGTCTACGGTGCGCTTAGTATAGCCGGTACTATGAACTGCAATGTTATAATTACCAGCAGAATAGGAAACCTACGATGTGATAGCTACCGTAGAACATCTGGGTCATCATTTGCCTGTGAAAGCTGTTTGCAATCGCTTTTTTCTGCTGTAACCCTTTTCAGTCACTGAGGGCATTTGCCAGAGTTTAAGACAATAAAGAAAACGCGCAAAATACATAAACTAATTCAACAAAAACGTACTAACCTTAATTACGTGACCAGCCACGAAAAGCTTCAGGATTACACCGGAAACCGGCGGATCCCACGCACTGATTTCGCTGAACACTGAAAACAAAAATGATGAACGTGGAAAGTCACAAATGGCGTGCACCTGATTCTAAGACCGGCTTTCCGTGGAGAAAATAGTTTGGGGCCACGAAGTTCAGCAGCTGAGAAAAGAAATTGATCAAAGGCAACTCGGTCAGTAAAATTAATGACTAAACGAGAGGTTGATTTAAGAAATCAGAAACGACTCAGATACAAAAAACGAAACATTACTTTCTGGAAATAGCCTCTTGGAATATCGGAACATTTCACTTGTCGGAAATACACGAAACCGAAATAATAGTCCGGATCGATCTAAACAACAATCTGACTCTGAACGGTTAACATCGGTTTACAAACACTGCAATATGAGACCATAAAAATCGACTTAAGATAATTAGTTACACTAGATACGAATTCTTCTCAGGAAATGGCGACAGATGCATCCATACAACGCTGGTACTATAATACCATAAATGGCATGCTTACACAAACCCTCTATTGATACAAAAAGCCTTGAAACCCGATTTGATTGAATTATATTTATCCTTTGCATAATTCAACTATTAACATCAAGATTGTGCCAAAATGATCAGATGAATATCCATG